CCTCTGCCTAAAGTAAAGGTCCAAAGCTTGCTTGGCACCGTCCTGGGCATCAAGAGGCATCGGTGTTCTCCCCGTCTCCCAAATGGGGAAACTGAGGCTCCGGGGACTGAAGTGCCTTGCGCAGGGTCACACAACTAGCATGCAGTCCATACAGGAGCCGAGTCTAGCTGAATGCAGACTCTAAGCTCTACTTCCCCCAAAGCCACGATCTCTCCCTCGTTGAGTTCCCACTGTGTTGTATCTTCTCTCCCCTTTTCATCTCCGCAAGGATTTTCCTCCCGGAGAAAGTACTCAAGTACTCCCCTTGGCCCGGTTGCCGGCCGTGTTGCTGCAGCAGAGACCCGCTAGGTGGCGCCAAAGTACCAGACGGCCTGACGTCCAGGGGGTGGGGGGGTGATGGGGGGAAACCCAGGGGCCCGGTCTTCTCTTCTCCCCTCCATGCCCAGTCCCCCCCCCCATCAGAGCTGGGAGAGAAGAGCAGGAGATTCGAAGGTTAGAGATTAGAGGACTGAGGAGTGTACACTGGAGTGGCCTGGGCCTCAAGTCAAATAGAAGATTCTAAGAATTCTCTAAGAAGAGCTGGGACCGGGATCCCTGGGTGGCGCAGCGGTTTGGCGCCTGCCTTTGGCCCAGGGCGCGATCCTGGAGACCCAGGATCGAATCCCACATCTTGGGCTCCCGGTGCATGGAGCCTGCTTCTCCCTCTGCCTGTGTCTCTGCCTCTCTCTCTGTGTGTATGACTATCATAAGTAAATAAATTAAAAAAAGAAGAAGAGCCGGGATCTGCAAAAAAAAAAAAAAAAAAAAAGCTTGTGGCAAGGGCTGGGTGTCATCTGGGTTTTTTTTTTAAGGTTTATTTATTTATTTATTTATTTATTTATTTATTTATTTATTTAGACGGGGGGGGGGCGGGTGGATAGGGACATAAGCAAAGCAGGCTACATGCAGGGAGCCCCGACGTGGGACTGGATCCCAGGACCCCAGGATTCTGCCCTGTGCTGCAAGCGGGGCTAACTGCTGAGCCACCTGGGTTGCCCCTCTGTCATCTGTGTTTGCACAGAGCCCAACCTGCACAGCCCTACGCTGTGATCTTCCCGGGAAAAGGCAGGAAATGCCCATTATTGGTACCTACCATGAAATGGTGGAAATACAGCTGGGTGCCCTTGGCGAAAACCACTTACTCCTCTAAGCCTCCGTCTTCACATAAAATGGGGATTAATCACAGGACCTACTTCACTGAGTGGTTGTGAGGCCTTAACCACAAAGTGCACAGAACGGACTAGTACTATGTATGTCATAGAGCAGGTGCTCAAAAAGTATGATTAGAAATATACAATAATTATAATAATACAAATATGTAAATGATAAATCGTATTGTTAATAATTAGTAGTTCCTGGGGGCACCTGGCTGGTTCAGTCCGTGAAGCATGCAACTCTTGATCTCAGGGTTGTAAGTTCCAGCCCCAAACTGGTGTAGAGTTTACTCTTAAAAAAATAAAATAAAATCTTTGCAGTAATTAGCAGTTCCTAGCTACCTTTTTTTTATAATTATGTCAATTATTTAATTATTTCCTCACCCTATAGGCATGATATATAGTAGGTCCTCGGGAGATATTAGTGGGAGGGAACATTAAAAAAATAAATTTCATACAGCCCCTCCTCCTGTCAGCCCTTGCCCAATAAACTTAGGAGAGACCCCCTTCTCCATGCTGAAAAAAAATAAAAATAAAAATAAATTTCAGTCACATTCTCTGGGCTGTTCCAACTTGTAGAGTCTGGAAAGACTTTTTAGAGGTGGAATCTTTAAGGACCACCTAAAGATAATCACACCCTCTTTGGTATACAGAGCAGGGCCTGAGGACAGGAAATGCTCAGTAAATGCTTTAAAGATTTTATTTTTATTTATTCATGAGAGACTCAGGGAAAGAAGCAGAGACACTGGCAGAGGGAGAAGCAGGCTCCCTGGGGGGAACTCCATGCGGGACTCAATCCCAGAACCCCTGGGTCATAACCTGAGCCAAAGGCAGACATGCAACCACTGAGCCACTCAGGTGCTCCTGAGTAAATGCTTTAGAAAGAAGAGAGGGAATAAGGAAGGAAGGAAAGAAGGAAATGAGGGAGGAAGAGAGAAAGCAAGTAAAGGAAGGAGAGAAATGAAAGAAAAGCTCAAGGAGGTTTTGAGTTAAGAATCTCTGAGAGGGGGCTACAAACAGGATCCCTAGCAAAATGCTTAGTAGAGTTGATATCAATATATGCTTGGTCCCAGGGCACCTGGGTGGCTCAGTCGGTTAAGCGTCTGCCTTTGGCTCAGGTCAAAATCTCAGGGTCCTGGGATCAAGCCCCGCATCAGCTCCCTGCTCAGCAGGCACTCCGCTTCTCCCTCTCTCTCTGCTCATGCTCTCCCTCTCAAATAAATAAATAAAGTACAAAATAAAGAAAACTATACACCAATTGCCTCATGACTACAGATACCAAATCCCTAACAAAATATTTGCAAATAAAATTCACCAATATATTAAGAAATTATACATGATGATTGAATGAGATTTATACCGGAGATACAAGGGTAGGTCGATATTAAAAAATCAAACCAAAAAAAAATCAATGTAATCCACCATATTAACAGACTGAAGAAGAAAAATCACATGGTTATATCAATTGATGCAAAAGAAGCATTGGACAAAACTCAACGCCCATTCATGATTTAAAAAACAACAAAACAAAAAAACCTCTCTGCAAACTAGGAATAGAGAACTTCCTCAACTTGATAAAAACTATCTACAAAACCAAGTACAGTTAACATTATACTTAGTAATGAAAAACTAAATGCTTTCTTCCTTTATCCTTCAGGGTTTAACCAGAAGGAAAGAATCAGGGGCACCTGGGTGGCTCAGTTGGTTAAGCCTCTGCCTTCGGTTCAGGTCATGACCCCAGGGTCCTAGGATCAAGTCCCTCATCAGACTCCCTACTCAGTGGGGAGTCTGCTTCTCCCTCTGCCTGCTGCTCCCCCTGCTTGTGCTCTTTCTCTCTCTCTCTCTCTCCTTGTCAAATAAATAAAATCTTAAAATAAAAGAGGAAAAGAATCAGTAGGAGATATATATTAAGAGATTTATTGCAAGGAACTGGTTTACACAATCATGGGGGCTGGGAAGGCAAGTCCCAAATCCACAAGGCAGGTCACCAGGAAAAGCAGGCTGGAATTCTCAGGAAGGAGCTGAAGCTGCTATGCACAGGCAAAATTTCTTCTTCAGGGAACCCTCAGTTCTACTTTTCAAATGATTACAGCCAGCCTATCCAGAGTACCTAGGATAAGCTCCTTCACTTAAAACCAACTTAATGGGAAAAAAAAAAAAAAAACAACTTAATGGGGCACCTGGGGGTTCAGTCCGTTAAGCATCCAGCTCTTGATTTCGGTGCAGGTCGTGATCTCAGGGTCGTGAGATCCAGTCCCATGTCGGCTTCACCCTCAGTGTGGAGTCTGCTTGGGATTCTTTCCCTCTCCCTCTCCCTCTGCCCCTCCCAGCCACCCCACTCTCTCTTAAAAAAAACTTATAATGGGCTTTAATCACATCTATAAAATATTTTCACAGAGGCACCTGGCTGGCTCAGTCAGTCAAGCCCATGACTCTTGATCTTGGAGATCTAAGTTCTAGACCCATGTTGGGCATGGATATTACTTACAGATAAAATCTTTTCAGGGATCCCTGGGTGGCGCAGCGGTTTGGCACCTGCCTTTGGCCCAGGGCGTGATCCTGGAGACCCAGGATCGAATCCCACATCGGGCTCCCGGTGCATGGAGCCTGCTTCTCCCTCTGCCTATGTCTCTGCGCCTCTCTCTCTGTGACTATCATAAATAAATAAAAATTTTTAAAAAAAAGATAAAATCTTTTCAAAAAGTTCTTTCACAGCAACAGTTAGATTAGTGTTTCAATTAACAGAGAACTATAGCCCAACCAAGTTGACACAAAACTGACCATCATGCCTCCTAAGATGAGGAACAAAGAGAGTTATGTCCCCTTCCACCACTCCTACTGGACACAGTGCTGCAAGGTCCAGCCAGTGCAATAAAAAGTAAGAAATAGAAATGCAAGACATATGCCTAAGAAAGGAAAAAATAGAACTGTCTCTATTTGCAGATGGTTGTTTGTCTAGAAAAAAATGTTGACATCTACCCCCAAACAAAACCTGCTAGAAATGAATTCAACAAGCTATCAGGATACAAATGTACAAAAATCAATTGTATTTATATCTACTAGCAGCAAACACATGGATGAGAGATTTAAAACACAATACCATTCACAGTCACTTAGAAATTACATATTTAGAATATATAACTGACCAAACTGTACAAAACTACTACCCAAATCCATAGTACATATTTGCTGGAAATCATGATGTGCTGGGATGGTGCTGCCGACTTCCTGATTTCGTCATGGCTCTATAGTTATGTAAAAGGCTGTGATTGGGATAAATTGGGTACAGGAAACATGGGACCTTTTTGTACTATTTTTGAGGTTCCCTATGAATTTATAATTATTTCAAAAGAAAAAAGATTTTAAAATCTTTTTTAAAAACTCATAATTAAAAAAAAACTCATAATTTTTTTGGATCAGGGATTAAGGCTTAGATGGGCAATTCTTCTGTTCCTTATAGTGTTTGTTCAGCCCCTCAGTGGTAATTAGCAGGTGATCAATCTGGTCTGGAAGGTTAAAAATGCCTGGTGGTTTGGTGTGGACAGCTTGGAAGGCCGGGCTCGGCTGGGCCTCTCTCTCCATGGAGTCTCCCCAGCAAGATGGTTAGACTTCTTATATGGCGGCTCAGGGATTGATTGATTTTAATATTTCAGAGATGAAGTACTTCTAAGTGAGACCAAAGCCCCAGAGGTGGCTTTGAGGACATGGCCAAAGTGGAGTTGAGATAATCACTAGAAATGAGGTGGTTAGGGGCGCCTGGATGGCTCAGTCCGGTGAGTGTCTGACTGACTCCTGGTTTTGTTTCAGGTTATGATCTCAGGGTTATGAGATCTCAGAACCCTGAGATCCACTGGACGTGGAGCCTGCATGGGATTCTTTCTCTCTCCCTTTCCCTCTGCCTCTCTCTCCGTCTCTAGAAGGAGAAGGAGAAGGAGAAGGAGAAGGAGAAGAAGAAGAAGAAGAAGAAGAAGAAGAAGAAGAAGGAGGAGGAGGAGGAGGAGGAGGAGGAGAAGGAGGAGAAGAAGAAGGAGGAGGAGGAGGGGGGTGAGGAGGAGGAAGAGGAGGAGGAGGAGGGAGACTGAGAAGAGGAGAAGGAGGAAGAAGAAGAAATGAGGTGGTTAGGGCACTGGAATCCGAGGTGCTAAGGAGTCATTCAAGAAGATGATGAAGAACCCCAGGTGCCAGGACTCTGAGAGAAGGGCAAGATGTGACCCAGGGGCCCAAATCATTGGTGAGTAAGGAAAAGTGACCCAGGGCAAAGAGGAGAGGTGATAGGCCCCGTTGGCACATGAGGGAGCAGGGGCTTCTACAAGCACATATCTGGAGAAACAAACAAATCATGTGGACACTGAGCCCACATCCTGACCGCGAGGGATGGGAGGCCTCCATCTGCGACGTGGCCAGGAAGCAGCTTGTCAGGGAGGATCACGTGGAGGTCCAGGCTTGGAGGTGGTCAACACGGTCTGAGAAACTGAGAACAGTCAGAAAGTTTGGTGATCATTGAACCAGTGTTCCAGAAGTCCCAGTGGAAAGGTTGGGATGGGAGATTGGCTGAGAACTTGATGCAGGTTTGGGGGAGGGGAAACAGCAGCAAGGAGGAAAATACTTTGTAAAATGGCTGGGAACCCCCCCACACTCTCCTTGCTGGACAAGGTAGCTTTTAGGTCTTTGTTGTTCTGATGTCTATGGTCCCAGACATTCTCCAGTATACACACTCAGTCTCGGTGTACACACTTACACTGACTTGTCTGAAATTGCTAACTGAGCTTGACCCCATAGGTCTTGTGCTTCGGTTATGTCATGGGGTGCATGAACCTCTCCTGTCAGGAGCTTTGAAAGATGATGAATGAGAGAGGAGGAATCGGAGGGTTCCATGAGGGGAATGCCACCAAACTAATGACCTGAGTAATCAAATGGCAATAAATATATTCCTATCAATAATTACTACGAATGTAAATGGACTAAACACTCCAATTTAAAGACATAGGGTGACAGAGTGGATTAAAAAACAAGACTCATTCAATCAACAACAGCAACAATACTGACCAGGTGTGTTTGGTCAGGTGTAAGAGGATTTAGGCATTTACTCCAAATTAAGTTCTGAGACCCTGCCCCTGAGAGAGAAGGGACGTGGTTAGGGAAGGTCCTGAGGAAAACCTCGGCCTGTGGATCCAGCTGGGGCTTGATTCGCTGATCAGTCACTTGCTCACCCAAAAATCTATAGTTTGGGAGCACAGATGATGAGTCACACTCAGTCTCTGCTCAAACATAAAGTATCTCTATGATGAAAACTTAAAAATTTGGGGCGCCTGAGTGGCTCATCTGGTTAAGCATCTGAGCCTTCAGCTCAGGTCATGATACCAGGTCCTGCTCAGCGGGGAGCCTGCTTCTCCCTCTCCCTCCATTGCTCCCCTGGCTGGTATGTCTCTCTCTGCCAATAAATAAATAAAATATTTTTAAAAAAACAACTTAAAATTTAAAAAAAAAATAAAAATAAAAAACAACTTAAAATTTTATTGAAAAATGGAAACGAAATTCTGAGTTCATTCAGATGAAAAGGAAATAGAAGGGGGACACGTGCATGGCTAAGTGGTCAGAGCAGCTGCCTTTGGGTCAGGGCATGAACCCCAGGGTCCTAGGATGGAGTCCCACATCAGGTTTCCTGTAGGGGGCTTGCTTCCCCCTCTGCCTAAGTCTCTGCCTCTCTCTGTGTGTCTCAGGAATAAATAAAGAAAATCTTTTTTAAAAAAGGGGGTTGGGAATAGAAGGGACATTTCTCCTCCTCCTATTTCTTGCTGGAGCCCATAGTGAGGATGCATCCAGGCTGTGTACACTCTTCGGGAGAAATGAGGCTGATTGCGGGTGGCGGGAAGTGTCAAGGTTCCCTTCTGGTCCACGACCTGGGATTCTTGGGCCCCCATTTTCAGGCTTGTTCTTGCCAAGTGAATTACTATGTTAAATGGAAAGACAAAAGGAAACATTTGAGCTTCTTTCCCCTCCCCCCCACCCCACATCATTGAGATGATCGTAAGCTTTTCTTCTAACTTTATTTTTATTATTTTCTTAAGATTTTACTTTTTCAAGTAATCTCTTCACCCAACGTGGGGCTCGAACCCACAACCTTGAGATCAAGAGTCACATGCTCCACCAACCGAGGCAGTTAGGTGCCCCTAGATTTTCTTAACTTTGGATGATCTTTACTTTCTTGCTGTGAAACCAACTCGGTCATGATGTACCTTTCGAAAAATTGCTATATTCAACCTGCTAATACTTTCAATAGGATTTTTCCGTCCGTGTTCATAAGACAAATTGGCTCTAATATCCTTTCTTGTACCACCCATCACTGGTTTGAAAACCAAAGTTATATTAGCCTGTAAAATGAGTTTGCGTGTTCTTTGTTTTTCTACTCTTGAAAAGCTTGTAGGAGATTCAAATTAGATATTCCATTAAATGTTTGCTAGAGCTTGCTTATTGATTTGTAAGACCTCTTTGTGTGTTATCCAGATTAATTCTTTGGTAATGTGTAGTATAAATATTTTCTTCCTGTCTCTTAATTTTCTCCATACATTTTTATTATAAAGACATTTAAGGGTTATGAAGTCAAACTTGAGCATCCTTTCATGGTTTTGAGTATTGCTCAGGAAAGTTTTCCCTACCACAAAGTTATTTTTATTGATTTTACTACAAAATTATTTTTAAAAGAAACAGTTTCCTTTAGGTCTTAATAGTTTGTTATTATTATATTTAGGTCCCAAAAAATAATTTGTCCAGGGATATATTTTTGTACACTTATATAGAAATTTAACGAGTTTTTTTCTGAATATGTATCCAACTTTCTCAGCATGTATTGACCAGGCTGCTCTTTCCTCAATGACATTTGTTTTTATTTTTTATTTTTTTATGTAGACTCCATACCCAGCACGGAGCCCAAAATGGAACTTGAACTCACAACCCTGAGATCAAGACCTGTCACTGAAATCAAGAGTCAGAAGCTTAACCAGTTGAGCCAACCAGGTGCCCCTCCTTGAGGACTTTAAATTTAACCTTTATCATAAACTAAACATGTAGACCTTTCTCATAAATTAGACATAATAAATGTGTGTGTGTACGAGTGTGCGTCTTGTCTTTCTCTTTTTAAAAAAAATCTATTCTTGGGCTGATAAAACATTATTTGAATAACTCCCTTATAATATGCTTTTTTTTTAAATATGCTTTGATCTGTGATGGGGAAAGACCTTTCTCATTTGCTTTTTCAAATTTTCTTGACTATCGTCATGTCATTTCTCTCCTAGAATATCTTTAGAATCAGGGTGTCAACCTTCATGAAATCTGCATTCCGATTCTGGCTGGGGTTGCATGGAATTTATAGATTAACTTTTTTAAGATTTTATTTTTAAGTAATCTCTACACCCAACATAGGGCTTGAACTCACAACCCTGAGATCGAGAGTCGCATGCCCCACAGACTGAGCCCACCAGGCGCCCCTGGATTAATTTGCCATATTTGCAACAATGAGTCTTCCTATCCAGGAATGTGGATAGACTCCCCATTTATTGGGTCTCCTTGTCCCTTAGGAGCTGTATGTGACTGGCCCAAACCTGTAGTCCATGATTTGTGGGTCCGAAGCCTTCCTTATGATTTCTCCCGATCAGCTCCAGCTTTGAGTTTTGGTTCCCACTGACTTGGTTCAGGTTATAAGCCCAGGTGTGGTAGGTCATATTTTCCGAAGATGACTGCACCCATGAATGCCCCACCACACCCCTCACGATCACTCCATGCTCCTCCTGAAATGTTGTCCCGTTGATGCTAAGTTCATCAGGAGGTGGGATCTTTGTTCTCTCCCCTTGAAACTGGGCAAGGCTTTGGAATTGCCTGGACCAAATGTGGTGACATTGATGCTGTGTGACTTAAGTCCTCAGAGGCAAGTCAGCTTTGTTCTGGGTGTTTTCTCTCTCTCTCTCTGTGAGCTGCCACCTTTGAAGGTCAGCCACCTTGAAGTGCTGGAGAGACCCTATGGAAGGCCCACAAACAAAGGACAGAGCTTCCCAAGGAATTCCAGCTGTTCCAGCCCCAGCTATTGGGAGTTCCTGGCACAGACACCAGACACGTGAATGAAGAAGCCTTCTAGATGAGCCAAGCCCATCTGACTGCAACCGCGTAACAGACTCCGAGTCAGAACCAAGCACCGGACCCACTCCTGAATTCCTGATCCAAGAAATTGCTGCTTTGAGCCACTAAGTGTTTAGGTGCTTTTCCTACGCCGCGATAGACAGTGAATACACCAACGTGTTCTATCCAGATGGGAGGCGCATCCCCTTTCCATGATTTCCACGCACACAAAAGAAAACTTACTCACACGAGTCCCTGGTGTGTCTAGGCCACAAAGAGATGAAGAAATGAACAATATAAAAACCAATAAGGCCGCCCTGTTTCTGAGAAGTCCCTTACACATACCCCATATTACCCTCCCATCGGGGCAATGCCCACCATCTCTCCCTCACTCCCTCCTCCTCTCAGCCTGCTTCCTATAATCTCCAAATTCCTCCTCGGTCCATTAGGCAGAGCAATCAAATTCTCCCAAATTCAGCTCCAGGAACACCTCTCAAAGCCCAGGGCCCTTTGCTCACAATGCCACGCGGGGTTGGACTTTCCCAGGCTCCAGAGGGGTTTCTCCTGGACTATTTTAGCTGACCTTGTGGATTTTCTCCCCCAAGCTGGGCACAGGACTGGTAAACAAAGTATATTCTCCATAAATCATAATGAAAGCTGAAATTTATGAAGCTCCTACTACTTCATATGAAGTACTTAGCATCATCTCATTCAATCTTCACAAAAACCCTATAAGATAGGGACTATTATTATTATCCCCTTTTACAGAGGAGGACACTATATGGTTTCAGGTGCCTGTGGTCACCGTTAGCGACAGATTCCAAAGCACTTCACCAACATTGCTTAAGGGAAGGA